AAAGAAGTTTAATGTATTTTCTCTTTGATTAATAGTTATCAAAAATGTTTTGCTCTGTAAGGGGATGAAATTGAACACCTGTGGTATTTAAAACTTTAAACTATTCAAGAAGTTGGACTGAATATATTTGGCTTTCAACCATAAAATAAACTGGACCATAGAAGTACAATTCCTTCCTCTTTTTGTGTGGGATTCACAATTTAAAAGATAAATTTGATTATGCAAAGAAATTCAATACATTCTCTGTCGGACTCATAGGTTGTTACAAAAGAGGTATAATCGAACTTACCTCGGGTTCGAAATGTTATCAGAAAGATGGCTTAGGTTCAACATATTAATCGATGTTCTCTTTTTTTTTATTGAAAATGCCAGTGAACATTTAGGTATGCATAAAGAAGTTAGATAAACATTATCAACGAAGTATTGGTTCTATCAAGACTACTCATATGACACTCGAGGTAAAAGAATGCTTTTTTTATACCTTGTTCGCTTTATTCATCAGCTGCTTGACGACATCTTCCAGATTAGAAACCTGTTTTTTGTTAAGTATTAACGCCCTTTTCAGCTCCCTCTCTGCTTGTTTCTCTTTATCTTGAGTTAACAACCAGCGGAGAGATTCAGGAAGAAACCTGTTTTTAATGACATGACATAATGATAAATCACAAGATATGGGGAAGGTTCTTTTTATTCAATAAGAAAAACAACAGCATACTTAATATATATATATGTACTTAAAAGAAATCTAACCAGACAAAATATTAAAGAGATTGTTTGTGGAGTTATATTTGGAGCTTTGATATATTTAAACGTACAGAAAATCTAACCAGACAAAATATTAAAGAGATTGTTTGTGGAGTTATATTTGGAGCTTTGATATATTTTGTAAATGTAGTTTTTTTTATTTATTACCTAGAAACGTTTTTGAATTATATACCAAACTTTGCTTATATTTAACATTATAAAAACAGTTGTATCATTCTCAGGCGTGGGAGAACCTACCACCAATAAATTACTAAAACTATCCAGGGGATAGTAATAGCTAGTTGTAAGTTGGACCAGTCTCCTACGAACCACGCTATTGCCGGTAGAGTGATGAAGCCAAGGGCCCATCCAAACTCACTGCAGAGCGGAAGAATATTGCGATATTTTACGCTGACTGACTCCAACACTAAGAGAACAAAACAAAAAAAATATATATAATTGAAAGATACAAAGGTTGAGTATGTTATATTAAAACGATTTTGGAGCCGAGTCATTTCGCAACGTACAATAATGCTATATCTGACGACCGTGCATCTTAATATTAGCCCTGCAGCGTAGTTTACATTGCAAAAGGATCTGTCGTAAAGCTGTCATGTCCAAAGCAAACCCTTTTCCTTACTGGATTTCCATAGCCCATCTAGTGTACGAGGACAACGGATTCCTAATGCCTGTTCCTACAATCCAATCCCATCGAAATCCATAGGCGACTTGACCAGTATGCCTTCTCATGGAATGAAATTAAGATGCACTTAATTCTCCAGCTGCTTGAAATAGGTTGAAAAAATGTGTCACGGAGGCACTTTGTGTACACGTAGCTTGTGTAGATTTTTCAGACGGAGACTCTTCTTGATTATGTTGAATACTGTTGCCTGGGTCACGTGAACGACTTTGCCACTGATATTTGTATTCGTGGGATCTCTCCAGTTACACTCTTTCTGGGTGGTCCTGGTGTCTCAAGTTGACCCATATTCTTTTGTTTCAAATGTCATTAAGTACAGAATATAGTTTCATCTTGAAAATTCCCAATTTGAACTCATTTTTATGATCTGAGTGTATGAAAGGGATGTCACATACCCTTCCAAATAGGATCACTTTTCGCTAACACTACTCCACCTACGTAATGCCAGATAATGTCAAAATGTAGTTCTGATACAGCCTTTCTATCGCAACTTTATATCTGCTGCGGTTGACACGTGACTTACTTATTCACAAATAAAAAGCGTTTCGATGTAACGAACTCAATTTTCTGTTTATTGATGTATGTTTGTTTGATATAAAATTCAGTAAATGAAAACTTCAGTGAAAAATGTTTGGATATTTATGAAAGAAAGAAAGAAATTCCTATAACTTTCAACAATAGATAATCGTTAGTATATAACTTTTATTGTATATTGCTCCTATCAATAAGCATAAACCCCTTCATATGTTATTATAAACAATAGACGTCTTTATTAAATCGCTCCACATTAAAGCTAAATGTACACACACACACAAAAATGCTAAAGTGTTATATAAGATTTTCTATAGCCTAACAAAGATACCTTAAGGATAATATCTGTTTATATCATCATAAGCCTCTCTTTTTGGATGATAGTTAAAAGTGACTCTTTCGAGAACCAGAAGTCTCTTAGTTTCAAAATTTTTGCGAAAAGCTACCAAAAGTCTACCTGTGCATAGCTGTCCTTAATTTTGAACTGATAGGATAAAGGGAACGCGGGCAGTTAACTGCACCTCCAGCTCACTCTTAGGCTGTACACTTGTTTGACTGAATAGGGGGATTTGTATGTCACTTTCATAGCGTACCTACGGCACCAAAGTGCGGATCTCATTTTTGTGGCAGCAGGTCGAAACCCGAAAATCTTCAAATCCAGATTATGGCATACTAACCACTAGCTGACGGCCAACCCAAAAAGACGTTGTGGCAGCAGGTCGAAACCCGAAAATCTTCAAATCCAGATTATGGCATACTAACCACTAGCTGACGGCCAACCCAACAAGACGTTTGTGGCAGCAGGTCGAAACCCGAAAATCTTCAAATCCAGATTATGGCATACTAACCACTAGCTGACGGCCAACCCAACAAGACGTTTGTCTTACGGAACAATAACTAAAAGTTCTTTTGTTCAACAGCTCAAAGTAATTACTCGAAAACGAGAAGCACGCGAGATATATAGGAAACTGTTGTATTCAAGAATATTAATATGACATCGCAGTATTATGTGACAGTGAATTCAACTTTACATAATGTTATGCCTATTTTTAATGCTCACTATAGAACACTTTTGCTTCGTGGAATTTTAGTTTAATACTTACTTAAGATGTACGAAGAAAATGTTAGAAACGTAGCTCCAAATGTAGATAAAAACCTTAATATGTTGAACACAATAAATGACGGCGAGAAAGCACACCCTATGCCTGCTACTAATAAGATAACAACACCCAGTAGTATAACAGGACGGCGACCGAATCTGAAACACAGAAATCTAGTATTAATTAACCAAAACATTTTAAAACAACACTTTTATGAAAATTATAGCTATTTCGAGCATACCAAAATTAAAAAAATAATCCAGAATTTTCACAATTTTGATTAAGGGTATTCATTTTTCCCAATGAAAAGATTCCACTTAACATACGAAGTCTGTAGGGTTAACGATCAGGCATTTTACAAATTGTTTCTGGCTAACCTGACCTTGAAGTAATTTTTATTCTTGTATAAATTTATTTGCTAAGGTCTTGCTTGTACACTCGTATAAGAAACATCTAAGTTTATACTGGTAAACAATAATTCATTTACGAATATAATAACTTTTACCATTATTCTTTAGTAAAATTTTATCTTTATATCTCTGTGAAATGTCTTAACATTTCTTTCTTAAAAAACTAATTAGAATGGGTAATGTATACAGGCAGATATTTTCATCAACCACACTTTATTGTTTTTAGTACAAATAAGGCTCTAATGGCTATAAGTCCTTGTAAAAATTGAAGCTCAAAACAATATTATAAGCTGGTCATGATGTGAACTAACATGGTAGGATGAGAAAAATCCATTTAAAATGTTGAAAATTTAATATTATACACTTTGAAGTCACAACTGAGAAAAATATATTTCTGATATAGCTGGTGGAAACAAACAAACAAACATGATACCTGTCCGCTAGCTGACCAGAGATAAACACTGCTACCAAAACACCAGCCATACTAATAGTTGTACTGACCGACTGTAACCATGCTTTGTCACATACCAGGTTCCACTGTGGAAAGGAATAAAAGCAGAATTGTCAAAACTTACAACATGACTGAAAACTGGGACTCCTTAGGCTTCACATTCCACAATAAAACACACACATTAAGTTAGTAAACGATTACAATAGAATAATATTCAAATATTTTTATCTCATCCGAGAATCTTTTTTCTTGGTTCGAAATTAACAAGGTTAGCCTTTGGAATTTTCTTTTATTTAAGTGTTGTTACGTAAGATTTAATTTGCCAAGCTTGTTACTGTTACGTCTCTGGTCGTCTGTTAATTACTCGTAAAAATTATTTCCGAAGAACTTCAGTGATACAAGTCCTTTCTCAAATAAAACTAGTTTGTTCTTTCTCAATTCAACTATGCAGTACACTTAATTTCCACAGTTACCTTATCTTAAACACACGCTATAATTTACAACGAACGATTCACGCACTTTACTTACTATCGCGCTTGACTCAACTGACCGTCTATATCTTCAATCTCTCTGTCTGCTATACAATTCC